ACCCTGGACAGGTCGCAAGTCCATCACAGGGCCACACATAGAGACAAACAAGACAAACAACCACTCACACCTAGGGACAATTTAGAGTTATCAATTAACCTAACAGTCATGTTTTTGGTCTGTGGGAGGAAGCCGGAGTACCCGGAGAGAACCCACGCATGCACGGAGAGAACATGCAAACTCTACCCAGAAAGGTCCCCGGACCGGGATTTGATCCAGTGACCTTCTTGCTGAGAGGCATCAGCTCTACCAACTGGGCCACCGTGCCGGACAAGTGGAAGATAATGGGTGGAAATGGAAATTCACTAGTTTGTTTACAAAGGTAAAAAGGGATTTTAATTTTTAATTTGGTTTAATTTTAATTGATTTCTTAAATTTTGTTATATGTTGTCTTTTATGATATTTAAATTATTTTTTAATGTAAAGCACTGTGTAGCATTTGTTTAAAACGGTGCTATACAAATAAAGTTATTCTTATTGTTCTTTGTTATTATCTGTTGAGTTTTGAAGATCTTTCAGCTATCTTCCCTAAAATAATAATAATAAAAATGTTCCTTTTCAAAACCTTGTCTTCCTGTGAAACAGAACATTGATTTGAGCACACGAAGCAGACGTGTGGTAAGATGGTGTTTTGAGCGTGCGTCAGCCCCAAAATCAAGTGACTACGGCCAACAAGGCCTTGTTAGTCACATCAGAGTTTAGCAGGACATCTGCCTTTTCACACACAGTTAAAAACCTTCACTTCAAGTCCATCACTGGCTGCCTCTAGCATCAAACGCAAAACTCAAACCTGTATATCTAACTCAAAAAGATAAAGGAAACCAAAGAGATTGCATTTCCTGCAAAAATGCAGTGAATGCAAAAAAAATATTGCTGAAACTAGCAGAAAGCAAGCTGAAATTTAGCTGAAAAGGCAGAACAATACTGAAATTAGCTAAATAAAACTAAAAGAGCACATTTGTTGAACTAAGCAGAAAAAAAGCTGAGATGAACACAGAAAATGTGAAATTAACAACAACAAAAAAACCTCAAATTAGCAGTAAAACAGCTGAACAGTACCTGAAAAGTGAGAAGCTGAAAAGAACACAAACAMGTTGAAAAAGTATAAACAGAAAACAAGAGAAATGAGCAGTAAAAGGTGGTGAACAGAAAGAAACATTCATTTTCAATAAGAAAAAAGGGCTGTAAAAGCTAAATATTTTAAAGGGGCAATATTATGTGTTTCTCAGGCATACATTTAAATACTATACCATAATAAAGTATCTATGTCACCTTTAGCTGTTATTAAAATGCTGTTTTTACGTTTAAATAGAAAATAAACTTATCTTCTCATCACTTCCTCTTCTGAACACCTTGAAATTGGCCTCTGTCTCTTTAAGAACCACCTTCCACTTCTGTCCCGTATATTTCGGGGGAGGGGGTGGGGGGGGTTTGCACATGCGCTATGATGTAGTTTACTTAGCAAATGAAAATTAATTTCCTCAAATGTATTTTGAATCTGAAAAGAGCTTCACTGAGTGAGAAATAGTGTTGAGAGCAGCAGACAGTTTAAGTTTCACTTTCAGTTTGTTCTGTTACTAACGAGAGCAAGTAGGGGTCTCTGCGGACGAGTGGGCGTGTACAAGGAAAGGTGATTCTAAAGCAACACACCTGACTGGACAAGCAGAAAAGTGGCGTCACCGTACGGCACCACCTCATTGGACAAGAACAAAAGGGACGTTACTGTAGGGCAACACTTTTTCTTGGGTCACATTTCTCCTGGTTAACCTTAGTGTTGGGGTCAGGGTCAGGCTGTAAAGAGATCAAGCAGGATCTAAGGATACCGTCATGTAGGCCTCGTAGCCCACAGTATTTATGCTTTAGACACGCCCATTCTTGTGACACGCCCACTTTGATTCCGCAGATAACTCCTTCTCGCCAAGAGCCTGCAGGAGTCATGGGCGGGGTGTGTCGGGTGGGGTGTGGGGAGGTGTGCTCCGTGATGACGAAACTCGGCTTGGAGACACAGCCCAGGGGCATTTCTGGTCCCCACCTGTCGTTTTGCTCCTCAGCATGGCTTCCTAAAAACGCTGCAGGATTTCATGCATGAATGAGTCAAAGCAAGGCTTTGGGCACGTTTTTTATGAGAGTATAACATTAAAACATGAAATAAAACTCAAAAAAGTTGATTTTACATGATACTGCCCCTTTAAAAGTTAATCGCACAAATACAAAGCCATATCAGGAATGTCCTGAATGAGCTGAATGTTTTGTTTAAATAGCACAAAAATTGTGGAAGAAGTTACGAACCAAAATATGTATGGAAAAATATAGACCTCAACACACAAATAAACCTTTAAACCAGAGGTGCCCAAAGTGGGGCCCGCGGGCCAAATTTGGCCCGCCAAGCCATTTGATTTGGCCCACCAGCAGTTATCCTGGTTACTAGATTGTAATCGCCTGTGTTATGTAGAAATACTATATTTGCACTTAGTCTTTTCAAACATTGGTCCAACTATAGGTACAAGGAGCTGTAGTCAGTCTTAACTTATGGTGCTCAGTTTATCTTTGAATTATGTTAAGATTAAACTTAAAATACAAGTAACTTCAAGAGACATTTATATTATATCTATATCTAGATATGCACACCTTATAAGACCACTTATACTCAAATTTTAAATTATGAAAAGTCCCATGAACCTTTGCTGCCCGAGCGTACGTTGAATTTTCTCCATGTCCATGGGCTGAAAAACAAACAAGAAAATGTGGGTAACCACACTGGCTGCTAGCTTGATCATAAAAAAATACAACTTTACTTGAAATATTTGCATTTCGTGTATTTTATTATTGCATTTAGCCCACCACCCTCAGATTGATTTTAATTTTGGCCTTTTCAGGGAAAATTGTTTTTAATCTTGGCTCTCTCAGGGAAAATGTTTAGGCACCCCTTATATAAAATGTTAATAGAATTGTGCCCTAGCCTGTAGGACTGTATTGTTTACCAACAAAATAAACAGAATCTGACGTTTTTTATAAACTGGTTTTAATAGGAAAAAACTCCACATCAAGATTAAAAAGGAGTAAACATAACTTGATTTTGAGATCATGAACATAAATAATGTAGTGATATAAAAGTAAAAAAGTGAAGACACTGTAGGTAATAGGAGAAAATTGAAATTATTTTCTTCAAGTAGGTGAATCCACTGCCACTGATAAAAAAATTTGCCTTTTTTTTTACTTCTAACTTTTCCAAGATTCTTAATTGTAATGGACMATTTTAAAAAGGAGGTAACAAATATTGGCAATCATTCTTTAAAAGAAATCTTCAGATGCCACTGATTTTATTTTCCTGATGAACCTCTGTCGTCATCTAGTGGTCGGCAGTCGCTACTGCAGGACCAGCAACCAGTCTGGTTGCAGTCAGGTTGTGCTACATGTGTTCTGGGTGGTTCTGCAGACAGGTGATGAACTCTTTCACCTCTTTGCCTTCGTAACAGATCTGGTAGACCGCGGCAAACAATGGAAACCTACAGGTGAGAATGTTTTTACAGCAAATTAGTAAGAAGCTGGAAGTAAACCGAGAGGTCAAGAATGGCTAATTAAACATCAAGGTTAAAACACTCACTTGTTGACCATGTCCTGCTTTTGCAGAATCTTGTAGACCTCAGCCGAGGTCTGTGGACCCTGGAGCTTCTGGCCGTTGAGCATTTCTGCCTCTAGCTCAGCGATAGACTGCAGAGGTTGACAAAGAGGCAGAGAGAGTGCTCAGCAATGATGCTGCAGCTTCAATTCCTGTCTTTTCGCTGTACTGGAACATTTCTCAAGACGAATGTAATGAAACTTGGCAGAGAGGTGAAGCATGGTCAAAAGAAAATGTGACTTGATTTTGGTGCAGATTGAGATCAGTTTCTTTCAAACGTTAAAATATTGCATGGGATTTGGTTGAGGATTCGCTTTACAAAAGCCCTTACAGTTAGTGGCTCTTCATACTGTAGCCGTAAAAACTGTCAGGTTGGAACATATGGAGATAAATTAGTCTCAGAAAGATTTGAGCACACACAACAACATTTTAACATGAGCAACAAGATTCGGAGCAAGCGCATCAAGATTCGCCCTCGAATAACAGTACGAATCTGCTTGCATGTGAAAATCACACGTGTAATGCTGCGTTTCAGGCTGGTGAAAAACTGGGACATCTGAACATTACCAAATTTATTGGTGTATTGAAAAAAGATATTTTTGACTTATAGCTCCTAAAAATTATATTACAACACATTACTGTAACAAAAATGTTACATTTTGTGGACTTTACAGCTAAAATAAACAACTTCAAATGAGTAGGTTATAAATATATCAGAAGAAATGCATATATTATTATAGTTTTATATTCTAGTTTGTGGTAGTTTTTCCATAAAGTGAATAACCTACCTATTGAGAGATATTTATTTCAGCCATACAGTCCAAAAAATGAACATTCTCCTATGGAAAAACTAGCAGAAATATATAATTTGCTGTATGTTGTRTGTGGAGTGTACCTCTGAGGTAAACTACTCAAAACAGGTTATTTTTTTCTGGAAAAATACTGTAAATATATATATTTCTGTACTTTCTGCAGCAGAACACTGGCAAATATACGTGTCCAGTAGTTTTTGTAGAAGAATAACTTACTGTATTTATTCGTGTATAATGTAAGAAATTTAACCCCAAAATCATCCGGGATCTACGATTAGTTGTAACATTAGACTGTATTTGATAAACATTTATTTTAACTGTAAAATAAAGACCGTAAAAATACTGTAGGCTGTTTAGATTTTATAATTTTTAAACTAAAAGTTTAAAATATATTACACGGACAGAGCAATTTTATTTACACACAAAGCATTCTGGGTAAATGATGATGTGGATAGGTCCTTGGTGTGAGCGAGCTATATCCACCCTGAAGGTTGATTTTTAAGGATTCAGGGATATTTATTTGTCATTCCCTCAAACACAAACATCAGATGTTCATGAAAGGTAACGAAACTGGTTGCACAGATCCCGATGTTCAGCATGAACGATAGTGAAGAATAGTACAATAAAATGAAATGTTTACATAAACAAGCATCGACAGCTACAGCAGACAAGTGTGCAAAATGACACATCTATACAACAATAGCAGCAAGTGTGGGTTTTTTTTTTCACGAAACTTAAATTCTTCAACTTAAAGGCACAGTGTGTAGGATTTTGTCAATTCTTTTAGCCGAAATTGAGATAATCACTAATGACAACAATAAAAAAAACATGTCTAATCATTGCAGACAAAGACCTTGTTTTATTATTTTTACCTTATAAAAA